ACATGGTTGGTTATAAATATACTCAAGTCTTTGCAGGCTTCTCACAACGCTACAAAAATTATGAAAAGGTAACATTCAGAAACCTTACTTATTTCCTTGTCAAACTTCCTCATATTGTAATAAACAGACATGATTGCGCAGTAAATCTGTTTTCACTCTTCATGATGATGAATTAAATCTTCTCTCTAAAGTTGATGTTAACTGTTTAATCGAGATCAAAGAATTTAAAACTTATAAATGTATTTTACTCACATTTCACATCAATAGTTCTGCTTTCAGATCTCTTTTGTCCCAGGTTATTATCAGCTGTACAGTAATACTTTCCAGAGTCAGAGGGCAGGATGGAGCTGAAAACATGTTGTTTTTGGTAACTGAGAGGGCTGATAACATCCTCCTTGTACCAGGTGTAATTAGCTGCTGGGTTAGCATCACTGCTACAGGTCAGAGTGAATGAACTGCCCTCCACTATCTCAGCAGAGGGACTCACTGACACTGAGGGAAGCTTAGGAGCATCTGGAGGAGAAATAAGGACAATGACAACATGGTTGGTTATAAATATACTCAAGTCTTTTCAGGCTTCTCACAACAAAAATTATAAAATAATAATATGTAGAAACCTTCCTATTTCCTTGTCAAACTTCCATATATTGTAATAAACAGACATGATTGTGCAGTAAATCTGTTTTCACTCTTCATGATGATGAATTAACATCAACTTTAGAGAGAAGACTTAACTGTTCAACTGAGAACAAAGAATCTACAGCTTATAAATGTATTTTACTCACATTTCACATCAATGGTTCGGCTTTCAGATCTCTTTTGTCCCAGGTCATTATCAGCTGTACAGTAATACTTCCCAGATTGAGAAGGCCGGATGGATCTGAAAAAAACTTGGTTTTGGTAACTGAGAGGGTTGATGACATCCTCCTTGTACCAGGTGTAACTAGCTGCTGGGTTAGCATCACTGCTACAGGTCAGAGTGACTGAACTGCCCTCCACTATCTCAGCAGAGGGACTCACTGACACAGAGGGAAGCTTTGGAGCATCTGGAGGAGGAAACATAAGAATGACGACATGGTCATAAAAAAACAAATGTAAAAAATGTATATTCTAAAACGAAAACATTGTAAACCCCCTAAAGAAAGGATTTTGACTAAAGTAGCATACAAACACATTCCCGTAAATAAAGAAAAATTAAATATAATTCCTTTAATGAAACAAAAAGTAGTGAACTCACACACTGTTGGAGAAGGAAATGTCTCATATCCTTTCACAGCACAGTAAAAACTGTCTACAGAATCAAATGTGTTCAGCTGTAAATATTGTTCGTCTGATGAAACTTGGTCTCCATTCCTGTACCAGATGTAGGAAGATTGATCAGGTAGCTGACAGTTGTTGTGACATGTCAGCTCTGTCCAGTTAGAATAAGAGTTTACTGTTGATCTCCTCACATGTACCTGGAGCTGTGGATCTGGGAGTAAAAAAAGATTTTATCAGAAAAATACCTCCACATCTGCACAAATACACATGGAAATGTTTAAAGTTCCAGTGGAAAATATTTCACCTGTGACATTCAAAGCGACTCCAGGTGATCCAGAATATTTCCCTCCTGGATCGTTTGTTATGAGCATGAACTTGTACTCAGCTGAGTCGCTCTCTCTCAGGTCTGAGATTCTCAGAGTGCAGTCGTTGTTTTCACACTGATACTGAACTCGACCTCAATACTCTGAATCTGTTTTCAGATCCACAGGCTCATTATCTTTGACTGTAGTAAACCAGAACATTTTCTGGATTCTAGTCTTTATGTCATTTATAGTCGATAGGTATCTGAATGTGGAGTGTATTTCTGCTGTTGATCCTTTGAAGGCGCAGACCTGAGTAGAAGTGTAAGTCACCACTGTAACACAGAGCCCATTATAGAAAAATCAGAAAACAGACTTATTTATATTCACTTTCATAGATCTGAATTCAATTTCTGAGATTCCATTTAGACATGTTTCATAGAGAACGAGACAGAATACAGCATAATACTGTTCTTTAAATCTGTTCTTTAAAGTGAGACTGGAACCCGTCAAGAATCTCAAATATGTTTGCAAAAGGTTTAAACTGAAAAGACCCAATTACAATGAATATTGTGTCCAATAATGTCCCAAATGTCTGAATAAGGGAGAGAGGACAATAGTAGGATTATTTTAATCATAATTAAAAAATTATAATAAAAATTTACAGGTGTAGGGAAAGCATTGCACCTCTGTCCTCTCCTGGCCACCTGACCATCTACCAGTATATCAAAAGCCAGGATGGTCCACTTGGGAAAATAAATCTGTTGGGCATTTTTCCTGGTCTTCAGACAATAATTCTGATTGCTACAGTGCTGGAAAGGACGGGCAGAAAA